CATCGTGCAGGCGTCGATAATCATCATATTCTGCCGCCTGCTCTACTTCCCCTTGAAGTACTTTGGCCAGCCCAGGGTCATCTCCGAGGTCATTGGCGGCATCGTGCTGGGCCCCTCGGTCATGGCCCGCATCCCGGGTTTTCAAAAGGCCATCTTCCCGGCAGAGTCCATGCCCGTGCTGTCCAACGTGGCCAACCTGGGTCTGATCATCTTCATGTTCATCACTGCCCTGGAAGTTGGTGAGTTTTTTGCACGTCGTCGTCGCCGTCTGCTTGCTACGCATGCTCCCAGTGTTTCTAATTAACCCCTGCGACGCAGATCTGAACCTGTTCATGCAGAACTGGAAGGTCGCCGTGAGCGTGTCTTTCGCCGGCCTGGTGCTGCCCTTCGCCCTGGGCTGCGGCATCGCCGTCGGCATCTACAACCAGTTCTCCAGCGACATGGTTACCAACGTCAACTTTGGCGTCTTTGCCCTCTTCGTCGGCACCGCCATCGCCATCACCGCCTTCCCCGTGCTCTGCCGCATCCTGACGGAACTCAACCTGCTCGGCACGTCCGTCGGCGTCACCACCCTCGCCGCCGGCGTCGGCAACGACGTCGTCGGCTGGATCCTCCTCGCCCTCTGCGTCTCCCTCGTCAACAACGCCAGCGGCCTAGCAGCCCTCTGGGCCCTGCTCTGCTGCGTCGGCTGGATCCTGCTGCTCGTCTTTGCCGTGCGCCCTGCTTTCATCTGGATGTTGAAGCGGAGCGGGAGTCTGCAAGACGGGCCTTCGCCGGGCATGGTCACCCTGACTTTGCTGCTGGTCCTGTGCTCTTCCTTCTTCACGGGTGAGTTGTGGCCTAAATTTCTCGAGCGAACACCGATGCTACGTTTGGTTTACTAACGGCGAAAATCTCTCCAGGCATCATCGGAGTGCACCCCATCTTCGGCGGTTTCCTCGTGGGCCTGATATGTCCGCACGAGGGCGGCTTCGCCATCAAGTTGACCCAGAAGATCGAGGATTTCGTCGGCGTCCTCTTCCTTCCCCTCTACTTTGCCCTTTCTGGGCTCAAGACCGACATCGGTCTGCTCAACGACGGCATCGTCTGGGCCTATGTCGTCGCCATCACCGTCCTCTCTTTCGCCGGCAAGATCATTGGTGGAACGCTCGCAGCGCGCTTCTGCGGACTCCTTTGGCGCGAGAGTGCCTCTATCGGTGTCCTAATGAGTTGCAAGGGTCTTGTGGAGCTTATTGTCCTGGTAAGGTGCTCCTGGTGATAACTTGACCGCCATTGCTCTCTCTTTGTTCGGACGGCGCTAACATGGGATATTTCGTTCTCGCCCCACAGAATATTGGTCTCCAGGCCGGCATTCTGTCGTCGCGGACCTTCACCATGTTTGTCATCATGGCGCTCGTCACTACGGTGTCGACGACGCCGCTCACCAAGTGGCTATACCCGCCGTGGTACCAGAAGAAGCTGGAGCGCTGGAGGCGTGGAGAGATCGACTGGGACGGGAATCCCATCTACCCTGAAGCTAAGGGATCGATGGATCAGCTCGAGTCCACCAGCGTCCACCGCGTTCTGGTGCACCTCCGACTCGACAGCCTGCCCAGCGTCTTCACCCTCATTGCGCTGCTTGGACGGACCACGGACCCAGAGCCGTCACAGGCCAGCTCTCAGTCCGACGACAAGACCTCAAGCGCCGAAGACGGCGTCTTGCACCCGCAGACCAAGCCTTCCGTGGGACGCCGCCACCTCGAGGTGCACGGTCTTCGTATGCTGGAACTGACGGACCGTACCTCGTCGGTCATGCAAGTGACGGAGGGCAACGATCTCTCCGAGAGCGACCCTGTCGTGAACGTGTTCCGGACGTTCTCCCAGCTCCACGAGGTGGCGGTATCGGGCAAGGTTGCCGTCGTTCCCACGCACACATACGCCGAGACGCTTGCCGGCAAGGCTCACGATGTCGCGTCCGACCTCGTGGTGATACCGTGGAGCCACACGGGCTCACTTGCCGAAGACCAGTTCTCACCGCACTCGGTGTCGCAGCAGGACCGGTTCAACGACAGGAGCCACCTTGACTTTGTGAACGGCACGCTGCGCAACGCGTCGTGCAGCGCGGCCGTCTTCATCGACAACGGCTTCGGCGGCCCCGGGCCGGGCGCGGCCAAACCGCAGAG